GACATTGGAAGGTTCATAAAATTTTACACTCAATTTTACATTTGTATACTCAAAACACCCTTTAAGACGATTTGAAAGAAATTGTAGCCAGTCATAGAATCACGCAGGTTGGAAGGGACCTTGGGAGCTTATCTAGTCCAACCTCCCACTCAAAGCAGAGGGAACACTGAATGTAAATCAGGTTACTTAGGGCTTTGACTAGTCATGTCTTGATATCCTCTGAGGACAGATTCCACAGCCTGCCCTGTCAGCCTATTCTAATACTTAGTTGTCCTCATAGTGGTTTTTTTTTCCTATATATCCAGTTGGAACCTTCAGTGTGTCACTCTGCCCATCATCTCTCACCCTCCTGCTTTGCACCTCAGTAAAGAGCATGGCTCTGCCTTGTCAGTAACCTCCTCGTAAGTACTGGGGAGGCTGCTTACATTCCCCTAATGCCTTTTCTTCTTCTGGTTAAACAAGCCTTATAGGGTGAATGCTCCTACCCTGACCATCTTGGTGGCCCTCCATCAGACACACACAAGTTTATCTACATCTTTCTTACATGGGCAGGTGTGGGAGACAGGTAGACAAACTTAGAACCTGGGTTCCAGGTGCAGTCTGATGAGTGCTGAATAAAGGAGCATGATGACTTTGCTTGATCTGCTGGCTATGGTCCTGTTAACACAGCCCACAACACTGTTCACCTTCCTTGCTCCTACGGCATGGTGCTGACTTCTCTGTAGCCCTCTGCTCACCAGGTCCCTTCCAGGAGTGTTGCTCCCTGCCAGTGAGGCCCCAGCCTGTACGGTGCAGGGGTTTAGTCTGCCTGAGGTAGAGGATTTGCATTTGTCCTTGTTGACTGTCATGAGATTCCTGTTGGCCCCTTCCTTTAGCCTGTCTAGGTCCTTCTGGATGGCAGCCCATAGAGAGGGAACGTGTGATAGCTGTACGATCTGCTTCCCACCTCCACTTTCCCACACAGACCCCTCAAAAAGACAAACAAGCAAACAGAAACCCCAAGAGAAAAGGGGTACTTATATTTAAGGCCTTTAGTGGGTTAAGTACCTTGTAGCAACTTACGGGATGGTCTAGATGGAAATGAGCTATTGAAACAATGGCAACCCATATGTCTTGAACCAACTTGCAAGGAGATAAGGCAGCGTGACTGTATAGACCTGTATCATTCAGTGGGAGTCCAGGTCTGTTCAAAGTGACTAAAATGGAGCATGCTCAGACATTGAAACTCTGCAAGTGTATATAAAAGCAGAAAGTTTTAGAAAAAACATATCTACATAAAGGAATAGATGAGCTGAAAATCTGGGTAAATAAACCCATCAGAGGCATTTTTTAGTGTTTAGTGCTTTCACAAGAGGCTGGACTAGATCACCTCCGGAGATTTTTTCCAATTTAAATTTCTCAATGATTTTGTGAAATGCATTTGGCCCTTTGGCAGTGAAAGATAAAATACTGCATCAATATTTATACCTCAGCAGTGTAAATTTTCTCTAAAATCTCATATCAAAATTATAATTTGAAGCGCTGATAATCAAATGTCTTCCATCTTCAGTATGAGATACAGCTAAAGTATATTTTCTCACTTTTTCCATTGGCTATAGATAATATTCTGCTGTCACCTCTCTGCTGTGATACCACTTTATAACCCCCTCATATTTATGTTGGTTTTCCTGCTTAATGTTCTGTAAGCCTCACAGCAACATGTTACATTTATTTAGTTTATTTTACTCCTACTGGGTTTGGATGATCAATATTATTATTATTCCTCATACTACCTATTTCTGATCATAGATAGTGTTCTGCTTCCTTCAGCCTTTTAAAGTTGTAAGGAATTGTTTCATCTTCAGGCATGAAGGAGCAAAAACAAATCTCTTGTCATTACGGTCAGTGAAACTAGGTTTGTTTGCATCTCCATGACTGAGTGAAATCCTGACTCTTTGATGACAATGAGACTTTTGCTACCAAGTAAAATTACTCTCTAATGTCACCATCTTATTTCCATAATATTACTATTTTGCTAGGAAAAGAGAAGTCTCTTACCTTTCTGCTGTTCTTGAAAATAACGCTTTGATTTTCACAGTGTATTTCCAGAGGTGTCTCAACTGTTATTTGCCATTAATTTAGTGTTTAGTATTCTAGCATTACGCATCAATAATCAAGTTTACCTTATTCAGGATAATTTAACTTACTATTAAATCCCGTGGTTTTAGGGAAGGACAATCTGCCTCTTCTATTCATGTATATAGCATGTCCCTCTCTTTGAAGCATTACAGACTCTGCCTTATTGGCCAGATTTTTCTCCTGCTTAATATACTGAATAGACCATCCAATCCCTCTCTTTCAAAACATTTCTAGATGGTGATTTAGAGAGGCATTCTAGCTTGTTAACTATTAACCAGAAAATGTACCTATCCATTACAATTACTGGGTTTATGGTATTGCAAAATTTCTAAGGGGGCCTGAAAATACTTTTGTTATCTCCACTTCCCTCCCAGCTACACCTGATTCTGTGCACAGATCACGATCTCTCTATTTGTCAGTTCTGCGGGTATAGTAGTGGAGAGATAACGAGTGTTCAGGCTTCTGCTCAGCGAATTTTATGCAGAAGAGATTGCAGGAAGGTCAGCGGGATCAGAGATTGGTGGGTCCCCTTCTCCTACATGCATTTTTCAACCATTTGCTCCTAACCCCGTTCAAAGTTTTACCCTCTATAGTTAAGGAAAACCTTTGAAAAATTAAGTTCTGTGTATTCCTTCTGGGAAGGCTGACCCCGTTGTCTTTTGGGGGTGCAGAGAAGGGCAGGCAGGAAATGATGAAGCTTTGTAATCATGAGGGAATTTGATAATTGCTTCCAACAATAGACTGGGTCAAGAACAAAAGTAGTGAGACGGTATTGGGGTTCTTTGGGTATGTTTGCTGTGTTTGCTGCATAGTTTAGAGATAACTGAACTATATTTAACCCAGATAACTGAAGTACCTTCCGCACTCTAACCTGACAGCACTGAGCTCAGCTGTGCTGATTAGGTGTACGTAAAAAGAATGGCAGCGTCAGGTCTCTGCTGTGGATGATCCTATCCAGCAATAACAGATCACATGAATCAGTGTACTGATATCTACCTTTGATTTTGTGATTAAATTAACTAGGATAAATGCAATATACTGAATCTTTGAGGGTCTGGCGTTTTTTCTTATGCAGAACCTGAAGCAGTTTAAAAGCTCTTACATTCACAAAATTGTTTATGTTTTATAATTTAAATGAACCAGTGTAGATTAATGTTGCCTGTTCCTCTCTTACGCTCGTCAGACAGGAGATTCATCTCCTTCCCTGTACAACCAAGTATTTCGTGTTCCAAATGGCACTTGAGGTCTGCTGTTCCACTGGCTGCCTCTGCCTAGTGTATAGGGCAAAAGGGACAATATGTATTTTTCAGAATACGTGCAAAAGAAACCAACTGCTGTAACTGATCTCCTTGTCTTTGCTCCTCGTTGCAAACAGAGCTGTTTAGCAAAAGTGACAGTGCTTAAAATTCTGATGCCAACCTTCTTAAAAATGGAAAGGAATTTCTGTCAAGTACTGTCACGCTTGCTAAACAGCTGTGTATGTGAGGGTGACCTTGAATACCCATATCTGAGCTGCTGCTTTCACTGTTAGTTCTTCTGCCTTCACAGGATCTCCTCTGACCAATTCTTCAGTTTGACAGTCTAGATCATACCCTATGCACAGCTGTAGGAGCACAAACAGAAGAACCACCTGTGGAGAGGGGCTGGAGAGTAGAGAGATCTCCAGTCAGCTCTGGACCCTCGTCCCTTTCTGGGGCTGGATACAAATGGGTATGCAGCGTGACTGTCTCTGCTTTGGCCTTGCCAACCTGGTGCAATTACTGCTGGGAGCTGTTAACCAGTCAGTTCAAGTTCCAGTTTAAACCAAATCATCTTCCATAACCAAGTGGAGTAAAATATTGGCATGCCTTGACCAATTCAGCTAGACTGTAAGATTGGTTACTTAACATTTACTTTTTTTCTTTCACCTAAAATTTTTAATGATATGGGAGACATGGGTGGACTGGGAATGTGGTGCTGTTGGTTCAGACTGGAGTTCTGAGCAGGTAATATATTTTGTATTGCTGAATGTTTGTAGAATCAAAAATTCCCTTAATGATATTTACTTCCCTTCCACTAGTTCTGTTTGACTTTCTGTTGCTGTAGAGTAGGAGAAGGAAGACCTAGCAAAAAAAATGCTCTCACATGAGCAGGAAGGAATAGAACTACGCACTGTTTGCAGAGGACCACATCGAGTTTCACACAGGAGAAGGAACATACCGTTTCCGTATAAACAGTAAGTAGTACAGCACCTGCTCTTCTTGGAAGGTGAGAGATGAGTTAGGAACTGGTGTGATCGTTAGCTTTCCTGTTAGTTCCTTATTACTGGTAGTCCGTGGACCAACCCTTGTTCCTCTTATCTCCGCAACATAGACACGCACCTCTTGCAGGCACCTCCTCTGACCCACAACCATTTGTTGTCCTCCACTTCTGTATCCTCAGTTACAATACAAGCTTCTCATACAAGCACAGTCTCTGAGCTTCAGAAAATTGTGTCAAATGAGGAGGGGAGGGAGTTACCACTTAGGCATTCACCATTCATGAGCCTGTCTTTTCTCCTTTACCTTTCTCTCCAGCCTATCATGAGACACAGTAGAAACGAGATCCTCCTCTGAAGGGGCAGGTATCATCTAATTCTTAAAGTACTTTTTGGCCATGATAACTTTCTAGTGAGTTGTTTATTGTACTGTTTCTTTGCTTTTAACAATTTTTTATCTACCATTCCACTATTCCTGAAATAAAAGCAACATGTAGTGCCTTTTGAGTTTGCAACCAATATTTATTTAACAAAATGGATGCCACCAACGTATCTCCAAAATGCAGGTATGTATAATAAATGTAACAACAGTTGGTTTCCAAAATGAAATCAACATCAAATTTAAGGCAAGATATTTTATGAGTTTTCATGCAAGAGCATATTCAAATGTTCCTTTATCCAACCCCTCAACTTCATCTTCCCAGGTAGAAGAAGGCATACTACTGTAGGGGTCTAGCAAGATTTTGAAGCATCTGATGATTAGAAGTCCCAAGAAAACACACAAAATCCCCACAAAGGCAAAGCCAGTTTTTTGTTCTAAAGTCAGGGGGAAGGCAGACATTTCGTTGACACTCATGCTGGCTGAAGTGTTGCTGCAGTAATTACTGCTCATCATTGGGCATCACATCCTGGTGACTCTGTGGGATTTTCACCTTGATTGCTTCTTTGCCTGCATAGAAAAGTAGAACCAGTTTGGTTAGGTCTAAATGGAGTGTGTATATCTGAGCTGTAGCATATGAACATTTGGAAATGAAAACCATCTTGGATTTTAGTTGTGTCCTGTTGTTTTTTCACATTTAAATTAATGTGATAAAATTGCAACTTTTAGCCTCTACACGCCATCCACTTACTGGCCTCTGTTAGGAGACAGTAAACTCACCATTTTCTGGCTTTCTATCTCCTCAAAACAGAGCAATTTCAGCACACAGCTGTTGCAAACGGCATTTTGTCAGACTGGGCACAAACCTACAGATTCTGATTAGGCAGTACTCACCAAAGTCTCTACCTGGAGAAACCAATATGTTTTCTGAAATGGCTTTACACCTCAGTCCTTAAACTAGTTAAACTCACATTGACCTCAAAGAGAATTTCAGCCAAATAATGTAGATGCTGCTCATATAATTCAGCTTATAGACCGTGATGTGTGCCCTATGGAGGCAGGATGCTCAAGCATCCTCATCCTGCCTTTGGAAGCAGGAGAGCTCTGTGTGTTTCCAGCCAGGAGAGACTTTTATTTTTGTCTTTTTAATGTATAGATTTTAGGTAGAGGTGGGAATCGTTTTGCTTTATTTTAGGTTTTCCATCAGATATTGAACTCCCATCTTTCTTTTGTTGCTATAGACAGCAGGAGACTTGGTAGGACTGGGACATCAGAAGTACCAAAGGACAAAGGCATTTTTAAGGTTGGATCTTGAGGTTTTTTGGCTCTTATTAGTACCTATTTAACTAACACGCCTCAGGGGAAAACTCTTTTTGTTAACAATTCAACCTTCTTGTCTTTCCCCCCAGGGAATTCCCAGTATCCATTTATTTCTTGGCAGAGTAATTAGGCTGCTCAGAGCTCTGTGCTGTCATGGCTACACTGCTTCAGGTACCTGCGCTGCTAGCCAGTTTAAAGGGAGCTCTAGTATCTTTACCCTGTACTGCAGTCATGGCTGAAAGTAGGCATATCCTGAGTCAGCCTGCAATTAATAACAACGGAAAAAGTAAAAATATGATTTGGTATTCCTGAGAAGACAGAAATGGACAGAACTTTTATCTTGTTTGGTGTCTCCTTTCTCACTTCAAAATTTGTCAGATTTTTTAATATTATCCTAAAGAATTAAAATTTTAAAAGCAGGATTAAAAGGGCAAGGCACAAGTCTTTTTTCTTTTTACAACAACCCTCAATATAGTAGGTATTAAATAATATGGTTTTCTATTACAGTCTTTACACATTTGCCAGAGCTTAACAACCAACATTCTGTTTATTCCGTAGAGCTGTGTATGAGATCCTTCCTTGTTTTGAGTGACATTCTGCTCCTTGGGTCATGCTGTTTTAATTCCTGTTAAGTTGGAGAAAAGATACAGATATAGCCTATGGGAATTAGAAGCAATGTCAACAACAATATTTATTTTCTGAAAATATATCGTACATAAAATCCACCTGCTGTACAGATTTTCACTGGGCACACTTCCAATTTTTCTGTTAAGTTTGACCTTATGTAGGAAAAAAAAAATCACAGAAAGTTCAGTATCACAAATTTATGTCACAAATCAGTTGATTTGAACAAGAGCCAGTCAAGAAAAAAAGTTACCTTCCAAATGTCCTAGGACAATGGGTTATAAAAATTAAATTAGAGGCTTACAGGGGAAAAATTATAAGTAGAAACTACCTGGGAAAGGCAGAACCAAAAAACCCGATTTCGATCTTGAAAGACATGGAGAGAAATCTTAGGGACAGGCTGGCTGTGGAGAACCCTGCATTTGAGATGAGTCCAGAGAAATATGTATGTGTTTGAGGTGACATTTCTTTACCATAGAGAGTCATATTCCAAGAATATGACTTCCAGTCTTACTAATTTTGCAGGTTCCACTCTGGAATTAATGTGATTCATTTGTATATTATGTGCTTCTCAGGAAACATTATGGGACAGATCTCAGTGCAAAGCTTGACTGACGCTGAAACATGGGGTGGTAAGAAATGGATATTTTGGTCTTATGTGGCAGAGTTTGGCTGAAACAGCTGCATGAGAGAACAGCGGCCATTTTGCTTGTGGGGGGAGTTGGTTCTGGGAAGATCTAATATGCAGCTTTGTGTTCTTCTCTTCCTTGTCCTGAATTTCAGAAGTTGTAATTGAAGCCTTAAAGTTCACAGAACATTTTGCTCTAATTATGTATCCCCAAAACTGTGGTACCAAGACTGTCCTTGAGGGTCTTTTGATTGTTTTCACATTTTCATGCTGCATACAGGTTGGATGTCCTCTCCCAGTTAGTCAGATATCCTTTCATTTGCTGCAGTGTATATGTCAAGTCGTGAGTCAGAGGACTCTGAATGCTAACTAACATGGCCTGGATCCAAAAATCCTTGAAGATAACCTTTAGGACAGCATGATTTCGACAGGAATTATATCAGTTAGAATCTGCAGTTATTTTTTAGGGGCTGGCCTCAGACTGATCTCTCCTGCCTTTTTTTTATAGGTGAAGACTCTACTCATCCTTTGATTCATCGCCCGTATAAAATCATTGGCATAAAGAAAGGCTCCTTAACATCCTAATGTGAATTAAAAGGCCATTGGAGGCCCTTGTGAGGCCAGAAGAAACAACTGGAGTCGAAAGAAAATAGCAATGAGAGAAATAGCTTAGTGTGTAGACCACTGAGGTAAGGAGAATGGAGGTATGAACTGAGGGTGCTGGCTGCACCTGTGGAGGGTGAAGAGGAACACTGTGGACACTTAGCGTTGTGAGGTGGCTGGAAGAAAGATACTGAAATTATATATATATATATCTATATATCCCAACTCTGCCAATGTTTGGTGTGGACTGAAGATCCCAGCCCCAGCTATTTGGTGGTTCGGGTGTCGCTTTCTTCAGACCTAGCCTTCAACCTCATGTTTTCAGATACTGACAAGATTAAGAAAGTAGCCAGTGAGTGTTAAAGACTTCCTCTGTAATCTTCCTTGTATTTTGGGTTTCAGTCCTTCTGTCATAGAACCCCCTACAGATTTTTTTTTAATGGCTCGATACTGGAAATGAGTACCTTTAACATCTGCTCGAGCTGGGAGCATTCATCCTCTTGGCATGATTAAGCCTCAGGTGCCTGAAAACTCACTTCATAAACGATAGTGTGTAACAAAATGGACTAAATCAGTCGCCATCTGTTCTCCCCTTGGATGTCTGCAGCCCAGCTGCTGGTTCACGGATCTGGTCATCCTGAATGTACTTCAAACTGCTTCAGTCCTAGGCTTGAGTGACAGCAAACCTGACTTGAAAAGGTGTTGGTGTGGTTAGGGACAGAAGCAGGCATCCTCTGGGAGTTTCAGAAGCACCTCATTTGCACTTAACTGTCTGGTCAAGGAAACCAAACTGTATTCCAGGGATGCTATTACAGGAATTGGGCATAGGAGGTAGTAGGGTGAAAGGATGAGCAATGGAGAAGACCTAATGAAACTGAAATCAACATGAATTTGGAATTCTCCACAGGGTCTGAACTATCTGAGTTAATAACGTATGGCTAGAAATGCTGCAAAATGAGCTCTGTAACCATACAGCCAACCTGTCATGCTCATGTGCACATTGCGTGCCTGTTTTCTCAAAATTTCAGGGGAGAAGACTCTCTCTTCAGGCTGAGGTTTCAAGGATCAGGCACAGAGTGGTGTAAGGTAGGAAGGCCAGGGCACAGATGCCCAGCAACCAAAGGCACGGCTAACTGTTCTGCAAGGACAGCAAAGCCCCACAAAACCAGGCAGTGTTTCCGCAGCACGGCAGCTCAGGGTGCAGGCAACGCTTTTTCACGTAAGCGGCATCCCCCTGCGAGGAAACAGCAGCCGGGCAGTGACATTTCCAGCC